CCCTCAAAATCCCCCATGTCAGAGGCGTTGGTGGTACAGTGGTTAGCATAGCTGCCTTCCAAATTCTCCCATGTCGCTTTGTAGCCAACCTCATGTCAAACTCTGCCCTTGGCAAGTACTGACCTTCTATCCTTTTAACTTTACTTTTGCTTGGCTTGCCAGGATTTATCAGCTGTGTTTTAAATTTTTAATCAGTTAAAAATATACCTAATTTTAAAAGTCAAATGAAAAACAGCCTTCCCTTTTTAATTCCTTGTGATTTTGGAGGAGTTTTAACCCTTTCTGAAATCTTTCAACTCTTTTATCTAATTTTTGTGCTACACTCCTCTTCATTTTTAAATAGCTGTGTCTTTATGACTTGATATTTCCACTTTAATCTCATTAAGTTCTTACTATGTCTCTTACACGCTCTACCAACCGTAATAGTGATCCATTTGTCCCTAATCCTGATAACTCAATATAAACACATCATATATTTTGGGTTTTTAAAGCAACTGTTGTTTGGCCTCTTGTGATTATATAGAACCAACAGCTCTGCTCCATCTCATCGCTGTAGCTGTCGCATATTCAGGAGGATACAACTGCTGATTCCTTGTCCCATTTTCCAAAGTTCTCCTCTTCTCATTCCTCTCATAACAAGGAATGATGCTTTTCACTCATTTGCTCAAGCCCAAGAGCCAAATACCCTTGAGTATTTCCCTTTTCTCTGCCATCCATGGCTGTTCCCAGTGAAACCATTAGCAAGTCCTGTTGGTTCCAAATATATCTTGTGTCTTTTTCATCTCTCTCCATTTTCATTGCACCCACCAATCAGTTCCCTTCCGAGTGTTCCCCTCCGTACTGTGCCTCGTCTCCCATGGTCCTGTAATAGTCAGCATGTTCTTTTAAAACCATGAGGTATGATGACATTTAAAACTCTCCAGTGTTTAGCACTGTACTTAGAATAAAGCCTCAATTCCTCCATGGCGTATGATATCTCTACCTCTGGTAATTAATCCTGGCCAAGTGTTAGCTTCACCACAGGAGCTTCTGTTATTTTTTTCCCTTTTCTGGTACTGGAGATTGAACCCAGGGCCATTACACTGAGCTGTATCCCCAGCTCTTTTAAAAATTTTTATCTTGAGCCAAGGTTTGAGGAAACCACTAAGGTTGTCTCCCTGCTTTAGCCTGCCAGCATCCTGGGATTATAGGCAGTGCCACAACCTGGCCACCAGTGGAACTTTTGAGAACCTCTAAGCCTGAGTCCAGTTAAATCAGAATATTTGGGGGTGTGGCCCTGGCGTCAGCATTTTTAACAGTTCCTTGGTGTGTCTGATGAACATCCAGGCTTCAGAGCTAGTCCTCCTTCTCGAACAGCCTTTGTATCATGTCCTCCCAGCTTCCCTCTCACACTGAGCTCTGGCAACTACGTTTTCTTCCTGTCTTTGAATTTCAAGCTCTCTCTTTCCTCACAGGTTTCTTGTTGGACTTGCTTCTGTCTAGAAGTTTCTTTCCCCACACATTTTCGTGGCGGGTTCCTTTTAGCTTCTCAGAATGAGCTTTCTTTCCTCACCCAGTAGAATGTTCCAGGTGACAGCCATTCTCTGCCATGTTACTCTCCTTTGAATATTCCTTCCTCTTCACACTACCATTGTCTCATAGCATCTTACATATTTTTGACCAGGGAGTGTAATCTACACTATACTGCTCAGTCTCCTATACACCCTGGTGCCTAGAATAGTGCTTAGTAACTATTTGTTGAATGACTGCATATGAAGAAGAAGAGCCAGATAAGGCCTTTGTCAGACAGAAGCCAAAGTGTGCAGTGGCTGGAGAGACACTTGGACAGGCTGAAGTGAAATCAGTGGATGGGAGAGTCTTGACTGATAGTGATGAAAAGAAACCAGATAAAGTAAGTAACTTTCACAGTGAAATTAGGAGTTCTGATATTTTCAGATGGGAGGAGAAAGATTTTTATTCTGGATTGAAGCCGTTCCTGGAAAACAGAAGTGACTCGTTACCTTACGGAAGAGCAGCATTAGTATAGAATAACTTCTGCTACTCCCCATGGTTGGTGTGAACTTTGCTTTTGAGTTGGGCCTGCTGGTGCACACCCACAATCCCAACCTGCTGGCAGGCTGGGGCAGGAGGATCACAAGTTCAAGCCCAGATGGTACAACTTGATTCTTTGGCGAAATCCTGCCTCCCTCAAAAAACCCAAACCCAAAACCAACCAAACAAACAGCTGACATTTTGTGACTGGCATTTCACCTAAATGGAAGTAAGAGCAGCCTTTTGGACTCACTGACCCAGACCAATCCTTTCATTTTAACAATGTGATAATTTAAGAGAGCGCCTGAGATTCCTGCAGCGGCTTCTTACTACCTGCTCATTAAAGCTGCTGATGAATACACTCTTTGCTACTTCTCTGCCTCGTGATGCTGTTGCAAGCCTATTAGCTTACCACACTTAATTATGATTAAATACATGGGATTAATTGGAAAATTGTGTTCTTGCTTAGGTGTCAAGTCATGTTGTAATGCACAAATAGCGAACACATTATGAGCCATTGCCAGATCCCTTACAGTTGTTAGCAATTGAATTTATGACATTCTGACATAGGATATGATGCAAACCAGATGCAGACAATGTTCTTTTATTACCTGATGCCGAGGAAATGAGTGTTCAGTTTTACAAATCCAGCATGGTAATTTTGTGCTTTCTGGTAGCAGTTATATGTACACGATTCTAGAGAAACACTAGAAGTTAAAAGGAAAGTTTTTAAAAAATGACAGGTTTAGGAAGCGCAGTTCTGTGATGAAAGGCTATGAAAGTGCTGTTTACAAAAGCACAGATACATTCTCTTCTGAAAGTGGATCAAAGCCTATATTGTGTCATCTTGGCTCTATAGGGCCTATGAAGATGAGAACTGCTTGCAAAAGACTAACATGTTGTTTCTTTTTTGGCTTTTTTTGGTACCGGGGATTGAACTCGGGTCCTTGCGCTTGCGAGGCAGGCGACGGAACCACTGGGCTAAATCCCGGGCCCTAATGTGTTGTTTCTAAGCTCAGCCTTTGGCTCTGTCCTTAATTCAGGGTGAAGTAAAAGCCAGACATTCATGCAAAAGCCACTTCTGTGTTTTAGCACAGCCAGGCAAATATGCACACACAGACGAGTTCAGGTCCTTTGAGCCCTGGGGCAAAATCTTTCACCTGTTGGTCTTCCTATTCTTGATGTCATCTTACACATTGGCATCTGTACTGCTCAGATTTCTGTTGCTAGGACAACATACCTGACATACACAATTTAAAGGATGCAGGATTTCCATTTCAGAGGTTTCAGTCCATGGTTGGTGGCTCTAAGACAGAAACATAGTGGCAGAAGGGCATGGCGGAGGAAAGCTGCTCAACACATGGCACCCAGGAAGCAGAGGGCAGGGAAAAAGCACATGAAGAGGGGGACAGGGACCAGATATAGTCCCCAGAGCCATACCCCTATAACCCAGGCAGAAGTGTGCCTTACTAATCAGTCGCCTAGGTGTCTTGCAAGCTAGCCAAGATTGACAGTCAAGATTAACAATCACTGTATCGGAAAACTGGGGCCAGCGTTTCCTGTTCAAATATCTTTTCCTCCACCGTGTGCCTTCATGTAGTCCACAGTTCCATAGCAAAGCACCTCATTGCTCCCTGCAAAAGAGCCAAGTCACATAAATGTTTGAGAACTACCAACACCTTAACATTTATGAAAATATTTTTGAATCTGTGTCCAAAGAAAGTAAACTCAGGGGCCAGGGATTTAGCTCAGTAGTTTCACCGCCTGCTGCGCAAGCGCAAGGACCCGAGTTCGATCCCCAGTACCTGAAAAAAAAAAAAAAAAAAAAGAAAGTAAATTCAGTCTACTTACAGCGTGTACAAAATCAATTATGTAACTATTTTCTGGCTGGTTAAATATAGAATAGACTGCAAGAGAGTTTATTGCAGATGTCTGAAGTCCTAATTCATTTAACATTTAGTCACTGGTGGTATGTGGCTGTCTTATGTGTGTGCCATTCACAAGAGGATTTCCCACATTGACACCTTAGTTGATGGGTATGGTGTTGAGGAAAATTGTTTCCGCAAAGTACCCTACTGGGTGCTCAATATGTTTTTAATATAAGATATTTGTATATGGACACATTAAATTATATAGTACTTCCTCTACAAGATAAAGGGGAATAAAGATAAAGAGTGAGAAATTATCAGATATATGTGTCTATTGGATTTTGTTGAAAAAGAAATTAAAGTCTTTGCCTAAAGCCTCAGCAAGCAATCTCATAAAATGTTTTCGTTCGTTTAAAATCATTTTAATGCTTGTAGCATTATTAAAATGGTTTCAAATGTTTTATTATGTGTTTGAATTTTTTAAGTGCAAATATTTGTGTAGATAAGTTTTGCTATTCCAGTTTGAAATTGATCCAGAATAGTGGCTCTTATCCTGGAAATGCAAAAGAATGAGAGAGAGCAAATATAATTTATCTTCAAATATCTATTTTAATAGTATAAGATGACCTGTAAAATATATGTACACAATAAAAGTCTATGTTCATTCAGGCAAAAAAAATAAATTGAATTACTGCAGGATTTAAAATGTTCAGAGCTTCTGGCTTACTGTTTTTGTTCTCTCTCTGAAGGAATAGAAAATAAGGAACAAATAATTCACTTGCTTCTAAGTGAATTTTATTTTGCTTTGTTTTATTTCTTGGTACTGGGGATTGAACTCAGGACCTTGCGCTTGTGTGGCAGGCACTGGAACCACTGAGCTAACTAAGTGAATTTTAAATCCTATAGATATTAAGACAATACAGTTCTAAAATAGACCCAAACTTCATTGTGGAGCAAAAGAATTGTTTATATTCTAGCATATTAATCTGCTTATTGTCTCTGGATTCTATCTTAGTGTTGTTAACCAAACATGAGAACATATATTGCTAATATATTATTCCAGACAACATAAAAGATTTTGTGTTCTCTTATGCCTGACAGGTTGGTACAGAGGATATACCCTCCAGAATAAATCCAAAAAGGTACGGCTTAGCATTTAATTTTTTATTTCATTCAAATTCTTATCTACCAGTTTTGTGACGGCCAGCCCTATCCCCTTGTCTGTTCTTGCTAGACCTAATCAGGGTGTGGGTTTGTTTTTGACGGTGCTTCTTTTCCCTTGCTAACTAATTCTCTGACCTCAGTGCTTCAGAATAATTGTGTAAATTCCACTGACTGTTTCCCAACCCATTCCGGAACGTGTTCCTGGGTGACTTGTCCTTGCCTGTCCCCAAGCTGTGAGAAGTGGTCATGCAGTAGCAATTGATCTCTCTCTCTCTCTCTCTCCTCCTATTCTCCCATTATGTTTTGTTTACAATGCCGAAATCCCAGAACCAAAGGGTCTCCCTGTCACCGTACAATTCTTTCCCTCATTGTCAAGTAGAGAAACGGAGGAGTAGTTTCCAAATAGCCTTATGACTGCAATACATCACGAAGTCAGTACAGCAAATTCTGACATGTGACCCCCAAAAAGAAACTGAAAAATAGAGAAGAAAGTGGAATGCAGTGCGAAGTATTGTTTGTGAAACTTTTATGTTAGATATATATTTTTATGTATTTCATGCACTTTTATTTTGTGTATTCAATGTGTAATACTGAGCTGCGATAAAAGTGATTATTCATTGTGGGCAGAGTTTGAAAAATCCTGACATAGATGGTTCCTTTTCCCAGTGTCAAAGCTGCTAAACATCAAGCTAACGAAAATCCATTAGTGATGTTAATACCCACCTCGGTTTATTTTATTTCCATCAGCACTTTTCCTTTGAGTCTGCTTGCTGGGGAACAGAACACGTCAGCACTTTCTTTTGAAAGAGCAGAGTTGAGAAGCTCTTACTATTTCACAGTTTGTTCACATGCCAGATAGAGAATTTGGAAAGGGGTGAGAGAAACATTTTTTAATTTATCAAGAAGGGAGAGGGAAAAAAACCCTGCAATTCTTTTTCTTCAGGCACAGCATGAGCTAGGTTATCCCGTGCAGATGGGCTGATGTTGAACACCCTCAAAAGAGCACAGGGCCCCAAAACACCTTCATAGAAGGAGAGGCTGTGAAAACCAGGACTGTGACTGAAGTTGTCGATTCTTGGGTCACACTCAGTATTTGCACATGTGTGTGTATACGCACACCTTGTGTTTGCTTTGACAGTTCAATAATCCAGCAAAATTGGGGCCTCTTTGCTGTTGACTCCCCAGCCTGTGTTCCTCTGCCCTTCCCTAAACCCTGATGCCAGTTTTCTACCCACTATTAGATCCTTACATGTGTGTCACTTCCAAATGAATTATTTCCACTTAGTCTCCTGCTGACTTCAGTTTCTCTGAGCTTCCATGTAGAGACGTAAGGTGGCAGGAGTGCCAAGGTGAGGAGGATGGTAGGGCTGAAGCGAAGACCCAGGGCCTGGCACGGCCACTCCTGCTTGCTTTGCCTTTAGCCTGCCTGCTTGATGTTCATTCTATTCACAGTTCCAGAAGTGGTGGTTATTTCAGAGCAGACCAAGAATTCATGGTTACGATATTCTGAATTTGTTAGAAAGTAAGAAAACTCCGGTCACTGAATCCCTAATCCTGTTTTATTAAGAGAATGTAAAAATTCTCAAAATCAGATGAAACACAGATACACACAGACACACACACACACACACATACAATTCTTACTTTTTTTTGTATGCGTGTGTGATACTGGGGATTGAACCCAGGCCCTTTGCTCTAAGCTACATCCCAATCCCTTAAATTTTGAGGACCTCACTAAGTTACTAAGTTGCCCAAGCTGCACTCAAACTTGAATTCTTCTGTCTCAGCCTCCCAGAGTGCTGGGATTACATGTGTGTGCCACTACACCTAGCTAGAATTCTTGATTTTATACTGGTAAATGTCACACATGTCAAAACAAGGTCCCAGTCCCTGGGGCTTCCATTTCGGTATGTGAGGATTCTTTCCAGTGCAGACGACTCTGGTTTCCAAAGTGTGCCATGATTTTCTACTACATCCGAATCCATCTTGCAGTGCCCTGCTACCTGCTGTGAACTGTAGACGGACAGGATGCCCCTCTAGGGTCTAAATGAGTTCTCAGTGTGCTTTTAATTTTTTATCTTCATTAAAGGGTTCTTAAAAACCCTTACTTAAACTGAAAACTTTACCCTTTAGAAGAGTTGTTTCTGCAAGAGCCTCTCTTTGTTCTTGGTAACTAAAGAACAACTTTGTAATGCATTGATGTGTTAATTTTTTTTTAAGTTGAAATGTATATTTTCCTTGTGGAGCGATCCAAGAAAAATTGGAGTGGAATTTAAAACCTGTTGCCATGGATTATACTCAGCTTGTGACAACCCTTCATTAAGAGATCCACCCTGTTAGAAACGCTATCCTCAGCCCCTGTCCCTTTTCCCTATCTTGGGGGAAGAGCTACTTTAAAGGCTATTGTTTTAATGAAAATTTTTGATGTCCTTTACAAGCAGATCTATCCATTTAGAGTGATAATAAAAGGAGCTAGTGGCTTCACAGGAGCTTTGCAGAAACTGATTATTGATCCTGGCAGAATTGTGGCAGGTGACATAGCGCAACTTCTAGAAAACCTTTAGCTTATGTATTTATTTTTATTCAAGTGAGTAGGTTGCCCTGAGAACGAAAAGCGGAATTGGGAGAGAGGCTGTCAATCGGTGGACTGTGGCTGTTTGTGTATTAAAGCGGTATAGGAAATGCCTGCAAGCCTCAGATTAATACCAGAACAGTTGAATGACTGTGAATACCCAAGTGCTGCATGGCACAGTAACACCTACAAATGACAGGGCGGTAAATGACAAAATGAATATTCTGTCACCTTGAACATTATCGCATCTGTACAATAATATAAATTATCCGTTTATGATTGGCTTAGGTGTCCCAAAACCATCAGCTGATGTTTCTAAACACTTCTGGTTTTGGTATCTCCCACTTAGGAGGTGCCAGTCATAACTGATTATGAAACATAATCAGTTTAAATGGTTTTTCACCTTCCTACTTTGGCAAGTTTCTGCAAGGACATTCTTTTGGACTCTCAATGTTACTTTTTTTTTTTCTTTCCAGTATCAGGGATGGGACTCGGGGACTCGTGCACACTAACCACACGTTCTACTACTGAGTTACACCCCCAGCCCCAGCAGCGCTGTCTTACTTCAATCTTACAACTGCTCATTTAAGCAGTTCATCCCTACCCAAAGCCTCCCTTTTTAAGAGTTCTGAACTTTTTTTTCAAATGTGGATTTAAAAAATTCATGAACTTTGCCATCTTAACCATGTTTAAGGGGCATTGGGCACATTCACACTGTTGGCACCAACCCCACCATCCAGTCCCTGAACTTTTTCCTCTTCCCAAACAGAAACTCAGGAAACATCTCACACTAGCCCCTCGGCCCGCCTCCCTCCAGCCGCTGGCAACCCCAGCCTACTTTCCATTCGTGCAGCTGACTGCTCCAAGCCTCACTTAGGCTCTTTGATGACTGGCTTATTGCATTCAGAGTCATAGTCTCCAGTGAGTTCTGGACAGCCAAGTCTGGGTCTCTACCTGACAATCAGCAGATCACTGGCCTCAGCTCAGCAGACAGAAGCAGCACACCCATTTCCTTCTGCATCCTGGAAAGAGATCTGGGGCTTCAGGGCTCCAGAGGTCAGGCCCCACATGAATCATACACACGCCCTCTGAGTTTTTATTTGTAACGGTTTGATGAGTTTCACAGAATCACTCTGCATTTGGTACCTGTAACGAAAGACATCAAGGTCCCCTTGTCCATGTGTGAGTTATTGGGAGAGGCAGAGAGCTTTCTCACACACACAAGTCCACCTGCCTCTCTCTTATAGGGAGAAAGAGAAGCATATGGCTTCTTTTGGGTCTTTTCTGCCTGGTTAGAAAAGGATGAGCCCTTTTGCTTCTGTCTTGAGCAGTTGTAGGATCCACTCTGTTATCAGCAGTGCTGATTCCAAGTGTTCTTGGCACTACCTGTTTTGTGGGCAGAGGATGAAAAGAGAGTGTTGTGCAGACAAAGGAAGCACATGAAACTGGATGCAGAGCAACCCCGTTGATGGCCACTGGTTTCCCATCTCAGAGTGGGTTGAGGGTCACAGGGTGCACGCAAACCTCTGGGCAGTGGGATGTCTCCCCACACTTGTGGGCAGTCACCCTGACATGTGCTGTCCCCCAGAGTTCATGCCAGGTCTTCTGGAAGTGAGGCTAGGAGCAACTGAGCCAAAGTGCACCTAAACAGGTTCTTCTGCCTCGCCTGGTCTGGCATGTAAGTGACACTAAAGTAAAGTGTCTTTTCTCGATAGCATCTGCTCTCTTGCTTTAAGAGTGTATGACACAGTGACACAGCAGTAGCTTTTGGTTTATACGAAAACTCCTGTGTGTGGCTCTCTTCCTACTGCTGGACCTGATCCTCAGTTCTTTAAGTCTATACCAGGGTTTGTATACCATTTTATTAGGTTTTTCTGGGCCTCAGATTCCCCTGTGCGCATTGCCAAAATACTAATGTGGAACCAGCTTCTAATGGAGATAGAAGGGAGAACAATTTGAGACTGTGAAGTGCTGGAAATAATTAGGTAACGGATACCACGGATTTGAGGCTATGTGGTTTGGGTGAAAGTGCTGACAGGAAAATTACTCGAGAAAAATCATTATAATTTTTATGGGTGACCAAGTTCTAGGTAGCTGTCCATCTCCCTCATTCCGCAAGGCCCTTTAATAATGGGAAGCCTCTTGTGAGATTGGGTCCGAAGGGGTTCTAGGGGCTCACTGTCTAATTCCTCACTGTTGCTGTAGCTCTGAGCTCATGGGGTGTGTCTGCCTCTTTATTTATGAAACACTTATCCTGTGCTTTCTGAACCCAAACTTCTACCTTTCCCACGTTCCCTCCGTGCTTGTTGAGGAGCAGTAAGTGTAACTGTGTCCTGGCAGCCTGGTGGAAGCATTTCCTGTTGTCAAGGTGCTGCCAGTCATGTTCACTGTGGTTCATGCTCCTGACTTTGGGCTGAGGTTTTCTATGGCTGTGTAACTGAAGTTCTTCTCTCTGTAGGGTATTTTCCCTGAAACATACATCCATTTGAAAGAGGCCACTGTAGAAGACCGAGGGTAAGTTCCACTCTGGGAAGACCCCTAAATGGTGATGAAGGTGTAAGATTTTCATGATACAGTGCCTACTTCCCATTAATGTTTCTCTCTTCTCACTGGGTTGCTTCTCTTCTGTGAGAGAGGAATGAATAAAAACTTCTGCTTGGTATAATGCCTTCCTCTGTCTTCTCTTTGTATCATTGTTCCTTCCTAGCATCCTTCTCCAGAAGAGTAAAGGTAGCAGCAGTGAGCTGAGGGCCTCTGCCTCCCTCTTGTATTTACAACCTGCTCACTCTGTGTGTGTGTGTGCATGCACACACGTGCGTTTGCACACAGGAACATTCAGAGCTCTTTGATCCAGTGCTGAGAAGCCTGCAGTTTGGCCAAGTCATTGAGCTTCATGTGCAACCTGAGGTTATCCCTGCATATGGGGGGCCATAGGAGACATAGGACTGGAATCTCGTGGCTGACAGAGAGGAGAGGGGGGTGGGGGGAAAATGGGCAGTTGGGTTAGTTTTGCAGCCCAACTCTAAAAGATCATTCTTGGGCTTAAGCTCAGCACCCACATTTTAAGATGAGAGGTGGAGAAGACATAGTTCAGTTCACACAACTCTTTGGTGGCAGAGCTAGCACCAAGAGCCAGGTCTCTTGCCCTCCTGGAGAAGTCGTTCCAGCTGGCCATGGCTACCTCAAGTGTTACTCACCATGCTGGCAGAAAGGCAGAGCCTCTTCCGTGTAATTAGGATCGCCGGGTGCAGTGCAGGGTGCCCCACCATCCAGGTACCAAGTACAGAGGCTCCTTGGCTTATGACGGGGTGATGTCACTCTACACCCATTGTGAGTTGCAAATGTCACATGTCAAAAATACATTTAATACACCAAACCAGCCAAATGCCACAGCTTAGCCCAGCCTTCCTTCAATGCTCAGGACACTTCCAGTAGCCCACAGCTGGGCAGAATCGTCTGCTGCAAAGCCTATTTAAATAAAGTATTGGAGGCCTCATGGGATTTATCGGATGCGCTACTGAAAGTGAGAAAGAGGATGGCTGTATGAGACTGCTTTTGAATCCTCATAAAGTTGCAAAGTCGCGATGTTTCATGAGTCATATTTATTCGAAAGCATTCCCTTATTGTACCTGAAATTCATGCCCATCTAGGCATCCTGTGTTTGTGTGTGTTCGCCCAGCAGTCTACAGCTCTTCCCACGTGTTCACTTGCTCTTGCTCTCTCTCCTTCTCCTTCTACTACTTGAGGAAATGCCCGAGAGGACGTCCGTGCCTAAATGTGGTATTGCATCTGCTATAAGCAAGGATTTTAGTACATGCACATTTTCTACCCTGTAAGACAGCAGATGACAAGAAACCCCAGTCTATTCCAGAAGAGCACCCTACCCCAGTCCCTGCCAGCGGGTCAAGGGTGAGGTCACAGGCCCAAGGACCCTGTCTGTCCACCTGCAGAATGAAGCAGCGGCTTGGTGGAACCAGCTATAACACTGGATCTTGTGTTTCCATCTCTGAGAGTTGCTAAAAGCAACCTGGCTCAGTCACTGAATCTCCCAGAGAGAACCAACATGGAGAGGCAGAGCCAGGCTGCAGCTGATAGAACTCCTCTTCGTTTCTGAGATGTGCTTAGCCCCTTCCCTATAGCACCCTCCCCACCTCCGTGGACAGATTTAGCTTCACTTCAAGCCAAAGCAGCCCCTCCCTGCCCTTGAGCACTGGGGAATGTGATAGTCAGAGGAGCATCTGCATTCGCCTCTCTCCTCTCCCAGGAAACTGAGCTTCCGTTTGCTTCTCATCAGGCAGCACGAGACGGTGATTCCTGGGGAGCTCCCGCTGGTGCAGGAGCTCACATGCACTCTGCGAGAATGGGCCGTCATCTGGCGCAAGCTCTACGTGGTGAGTTTCCCCGGGCTTGTGGCTGGCAGTGGCATCGTTTCTGGGCCCTCAGCCTGTGGTTCCACTGCTGAGCCATCCTCGGTGGTAGGGCCGTCAGGCCCTCATTAGCTCTTGCATGGAGTGGGAGGTGCCTTCTCTGGACCACACAGTGGCTTGCAACCAGCTGCCTCTCGTGTCCCCATTGCTGGGTCAGTGATGTGGAATCGTGGCGGGCAGTGAATGCAGTCGCTAATTCAGTCTTTCCGCAACTGAGAAGCATACTGTTGAGAAAGGAACCATGACAGCAGACACTTACCTCTGCCTCCTGAGTGCTGGAATGATGACTCCTTGAGACACTTCTGTAAAGTAGGTGCAGTTGGAATTATGAGTGCATCAGTAAGGAACAAGAGGATTTGCTCTTACATCTCCCTGTGGACCAGTGAGTAGAAATTTGCACATTTCAGTGCTCAGCTCCCGGAGGGTGGCATTCTTAACCATAGCCATTGTACAGACTCAGAAACTCGAGTGGTGTTAAGCCCTGGTCAGGGCAGACTTCCAAGTACTCTTTCTCACAACGCTGGTGTGACCTCAGAATGCCAGCGTGATGCTCTGGCTCAGTGGGAAATTACACAGGACCCAGCACATCCTGTCTGCAATAAACCAGTCACAAGTGCATGTAGCTGTGCAGTGGGAACTGCTATGGTGCGGGTATGGTTTGTCCCCTCTCAAACTCAGGTTGGAGTTCCGTCCCCGTTGTGAGGTATTAAGAGTGTAGAGAGGTTAGCCAGCTCTGATGTTTAGAGGTGCGGAATTTGGGAGGGGATTAGCATTGCGTGAGGTCATCAGCCTGGAGCCTTCAGGACTGAATACCGGTGGCTTCATGAGAAGCAGGAGTGAGACCAGAGGGGGCACATACAGGCACTGTCTGTCTCGTACCTGGGATGCCCTGTATCACCTCGGGACTCTGCCAGCTAGAACACCATCCCCAGATGTGGCCGCTCAACCTCAGAGCAGAGCCAGAATGAGAACCCAGTGTGTAGGATTGTGTTATTAGCAGGAAAAAAAAGTGGACTAGGCCCAGGGCCCCGCAAATGTAGCAGGTCACATTTCCAGAGTGAGAACAGCTCCTCTCCAAGTGGCCAAGCAGGCTTCACATCATCCGCTGTCCCCAGGCCCGCAGGTGTTCTCCCTTGGGTGTTGGACTCCACAGACTATGTCCACAGTTGCTTCTTTCCTGCAGACCTCATAGGCGAGTGCCCTGGGCCTCACTTCTGCAGTTGACCTCTGTGGCTGACGAGGAGTCTGGCTCTGAGTGTGCATTCTCTTGTTAGATGTGGGAGTGGTCCCATGACTGCGCTACATTTGGTGGCTTGGGAGCCATTTGCTTTCCTTGATGTGGTTTTGTTTTATGTAGGCTTTTATTTGGTCATCTGTTGATGGCTTGGTTTTATTTTCTTTTTTTCTTTAATCTTAATAAATTATTAGAAACACCCCATTCTAGACCCTGCCTTACTAAAAGCAGTAATCCAGAAAGTCAGAAGCTCATTTCAATGTTACTTCTAAGGGTGCATGTGGGTATTTCACTTCTATTTAGGGCTGTTTTATCCCTTGACAAGTGACAGCTGGAGGAATGACTAACCCCTTGGGTAGAAAATCCAATGGTGTTTCTCTGCCTGCCTGTCCTTTCAGGCCTCATAATGAAGGTGATCTTTGATCTCTTTATGTTTAGTTGAGGAGGAAGCTGACTCTGAGTTCCTAAATCACAAGCCCTGGGAAGATGGAGATGCTGCCATCAGCCCTGTGGCCTCCGTTGATCATCTTGCACTTACGCTGAAAGCACTCTCCGGCTCGGTTAATTGATTATTTAGTGGCAGGCGTAACAAGGCTAATGGATGAGGAGTATGTGCACAGGTTCTCTTCCTGAGGTGCTCTTTCTGGGAATCGGTCAGCGAGGAAATGCCTTAGATAAGCAGAGGTGAAGCCTCCCTGCAGTATCCACTTTCGGTTACTGTAAGGAAACACTGGAAGTGGGGTAGCTTACAAAGAAAAGAATTTATTTAGCTTAGAGTCCTGGAGGTTCAAGGGCATGGTGCCAGCATGTGCTTGGTTCTGGTGATGGCCCCATGGTAGCGTGACAGTGTGGGGACCTCATGTGATTGGAGGAGTTTACACACCAAGACAAGAAGCCAGTGTGGGGCAGGGCCTTGCTCTCTGTAATAAGCCCAGGGAAGTAACTGACTGGTATTGGTTCCTTCCGAGTGCGGTACCCTCCATGACTCCCACTAGATCCCAGCCCTAAAGGCCTGGCCACCACTGAATGGCATTGGATTTGGGGCCCAGCTTCTAGCACGTGAACCCTTGAGGGACAAACTCATGATATCAGATCCCAGCCATTGCAACCCCTTATCTGAAAATGCAGCTTCCAAAATGCTCCAAAAATCTGAAACTGTTTGAGTGCCTACGTGACACCACAAGTGGAAAACTGCACACCTGACCTCATGTGTCAAGTTTTGTTTCATGCGCAGTATTATTTAAAATGTCATCTTAAGTGACCTTCAGGCTGTTTGTATATGAAACACTCATGAATTTTGTGTGTAGACTTGGGCCCCCATTCCCAAGTTAGCTCATTATAGATAAACATCATCCCAATGCAAAAAAGGCCTGAAACACTTCTGGTCCCAGGTATTTTGAATAAGGGATATTCAGTCGGTATTAGGAAAGGAGATTTTTTTAAATGTCACATGTAAGAGTAGAGACTATGAATGAGGTAGGCTTTTTTCTTGCTAAACTACAGCCTTTGGCTTCATTTTCTTATTCACGTCCTCTACATGTCTGCAGTCACCTTACATAGAACTGGGAAGTAAGTGAATGGGAAGGAGCAATAGGGCCTGTGTATTAGGGCTTTTAAATCCTTAATAGTTAAATAATAGTGGTAAGCACTTGTTGAGGATTTCCTGTGTGGGAATTTCCCTACTTAATACCAGAATTGGGTGTTAAATGCGAAATGAGAAGGAGGGAAAGAGAGGAGCAGGGAGAAGGAAGAGAGACAGACAAAGACAGTCAGAAAGAGATCGATCCTTCCTCACAGGGCAGCACGTTTTGCATCTTAATTTAGATATCCAACAAAATAATCATCTTGCTATTTGTGGATATTTGTAAATGTCTTGTAGCTGCTATTGATTGACTAAAATACGCCTGTGGTAAAGGTTCTGGATCAGTTGATAGGGCTGAACAGTTTGCTTCTGGTTTTGATCCATGTTTCTCCATTAAGGAATAATCCACTTTGACAGGAGTGTTATTAATCATGCCTTTTTTCTTTCCTGGTCCATTTCAAACACATTGACAGTTCATCTCAGGCAGAATTCCTCAACTCCTTTCTTAAATTTGCATGTGAAAGTAGCAAACCCCAATATGTTTCAAGGGGAAATAGTAAAAGAAAACCAGGGTTCTAGTTTGCATGTCCCACCTCCTCCATCTACTTTTAGTGTTTTGTCTTCTGATTCGGTAAGTTCCCTTAGTCCCTGTAAAGATACATACAGATTTTACTAGTATATACTCATCCTTGAATCCCGTCTCTCATCTATTTCTTCCCAGATTATGAGGTCAGGCATTCTGCTGGTGTCTTTCACAACTGTGATTCCTGAGAAACCACATACTTCTCTAAAATGCATTTCCTGGTTCTGTTCTTTTCAGTCTAAATTCACTGGAAATTTATATTATGGGAGCCTTATAACAATCTACTAACTAGATTAAGCCCCGCTGTGTAGACACTTGTCATTATTCCAGAGACAAAAGATGTTTCCCTCACTGGGTTTGGTTTTGGCATCTTTGGCATCGAACAGTGACCGTGTGAAGTAATCATTAGTGTGTTCTAAGGGGAGAGGAGTGACTATCCCAAACAGAGGGACACCCTTTGTGCAAAATAGAGAGAAAGTAGATAGCTCCTCACATTCCCTCTTTCCTTGTGTTACGGTGGTATTATCGTTTGTTTGTATGTGTGTGTTATGAATACCCAAAGTTAGCCATTTCTCTTTGCCTTGTCCTCCTCCCTAGTTTTACTTTGGGGGCTTCAATCTGTATATCTCGTTTCTATCCCCCCTTGACTTGCCCTTACAACCCCTGCCCTTTCTTCCCTTCCTCTTGTCGAATAATGGCCTCCCCTCGTTATCTTTTTTTAGATTACACAGATTAGGAAGAGCATGCTATATTTGTCTAAGTCTGGCTTATTTCGCTCAACATGATTATTCTGGGGGCGGGGTACTAGGCATTGAACCCAGTGCTTTCTTGCTGAGCTACATCCCCAGCCCTTTTTAAATTTTTTTATTTTTGAGACAGGATCTCACTAAATCACTAAACCGCCCCAGGCTGGACTCAACTGTGCGATCCTCCTGCCTCAGCCTCCCTGGTGCTGGAATTATAGGCATGCACCACCATGCCTGAGATATGACTGTTCTGTACTGAATTATCTTCCTTGTGGGTGTTGGCCTTATTCTCCAGAAAGGGAACTTGCTATAGGGCCAAGCACTAGCCTAGAAGGGAGGAAGTTGGCTTTCATGCAGGCCCCGCCCTCACTAGCTCTGCAGCCTTGAATAAGTGACCTGTGACCCCTGAGCCTCTGCTGGATTTTGCCCCCCTTTAAAAGTGATGCAGAGCTCCCTTGTGGACCCCAAGGAGCTATGAGCCTATGGAAAAGGATGGCAGCTTTGAAACCACTCTGCAGACTCACCGTCCAGGACTCTGCCAGTGGGAGCCTGTGACCCTGACGCTGGGTCAGCTGGGAGCTGTCGCTGCCCTGGCTGCCCTTTTCCTGGGCAGCCTTGGCCCCTGGCTTCCCTCCCAGGATCCAGCTCCCCTCTGCGGGCCGGCCTCATCCAAGGCACTTCCTTCATTTCCTGGAACAGTCAGACGGAGTGGCCTTGAGTGCTCAGTTTCCCACCATAGCTGGGGAGCCTCCTGGGCTTGGGTTCAAGTTCTCCAGCCACGGCTCTTTCCAGAATGCAGAGTGCAGCTTGATGGGGGTT